TAAAGACAAGTCTATCAAAATAATTGGAGATTTCTAAGCATAAATCTTTTTGGTAAATTTGTTTTAATTTTTATGTATTTGGCACAGGGTCTCACTCTGCAGCTCAGATGCAGCTTAGACTTGGAGTACTTGTCCACTGAGATTACTGGTGTGCGCTACCACAACCAGTCTCAGTGGCTGGCTCATTGTGCTCAACATGATGCAGCATGTGGTGCCAGGAATCAACCCAGGTCCCTGCGCTTGCCTAAGCAGGCGTTTAGTGATATGTATCACTAAAGTGATACACTGAGCTATCTCCCTGGCCCTTTTTTTTTTAATGTATTTGGCACAGGGTCTCACTACACAGCTCAGTCTAAGTGCCTGCCTGGCAAACACAAGGCCCCGAGCTTGATCCCTGGTACCACATGCCATGCAGGCCCTGAAACTGGGGGTGGTGACACACACCTGTAATCCCAGCATTGGGGAGGCTGACATAAGAGTATCACTATGTCTGAACTTTGTAGCAAGACCCTGGATGGAATAAATTTTTAAAAAATAATAAGAAAACTGAAGTGAAGACTTTCCACAACAAAGTCCTAAAGAAACACATGCCCACTAACAAAATAGCAGAAAATACTTCAGGGAATGAATCCTAGACAGAGACAGGGAGAGCAATGGAAAGCCTTCCTGAGCAACAACAGCCCAAAATAGATATAAAACTGGGAAAGCAGTTAAACAAAAGGGGAAAAATAAAGGAATAAGCAATGGACAAACAATGCAATGACAGAATTCAACAACTTTACAGCAGTGATGGTGAACCTATGGCATGTGTGCCATGATAAGTAATTTGTATCAGTGAAGTCACTGACTTCAACTGCTTAATCAAAATACAAAGACTGGCAGATTGGACCAAAATCAAAATGGAACTATGTATTATTTACAGGACACAAAACTCCAAAAGAAAGGACAGACTAAAAGTGAAAGAATGGGAAAAAGAAAAAAAAAAATCATACCATTCAACCAGAGCCCCCAAACAAGCAAGAATAGCTATTCTATTTTCGGACACACTGACTTCAAGTCAGAACTAATCAGAGCCTGGCGTGGTGGCACATTCCTGAAATCCCAGCACTTGGGAAGCAGGAGGATCCTTGTGTTGAGACCAGCCTGGGATACAATGTGAGCTCAAGGCCAGCCTCAACCACAAAACCAGAGCCTCTCAAAAAAAAAAAAAAAAAACCAGCCACTATACACTGGGAAAGGGAATAATCCAACAGAAATTGAGAATACTAAACATCCATCAAATGCCCCATAAAACAAAAAATTACTGAACTTTTAAAGCAGACAGACGCTAATATAATCATAAAGGGGGACTCTGATACCCTACTCTCACAATTAGATCAGCCAGATAAAAATAACAAAGAAACATCAGTTAAACCACATCACTGAACAAATGTACTTAACAGATATCTACACAGTATTTCATCCCACAACAGAACACTTTTCTGAAAAGCACACAGAACTTTCTCCAAAATACTCTTAGGCCAAAAAAGCACACATAATTTAAAAAATGAAATAAAGCCTTCACAGTATCAGATCATAGGAAAATGAAGGTACAAATCAACAGTAAAGGGACCAGGGAGACAGCTCAGTAGAATAAGTGCTTGCCTGGCAAGCGCAAGGTCCTGAGTTCAATCCCCAGTACTGGGGAAAAAAAGCAAAGAAGCCACAGAGACTATGCTAACATGCCAACACATGAAGATTAACATATGATTAGCTGGGTGTGGTGGTGCATGCCTGTGTTCCCAGCACTCAGGAGGCTGAGGCAGGAGGACTGCTGCAAGTTCAAGGCCAGCCTGGGCTACAGTAAGTTCAGGGGCAGCTGAACTATACAGCAAAACCCTGTCTCAAAAAATAAATAAATAGGGGGCCTGGCCCTAGCTCAGTAATTTAAGTGGCTTCTTCCACAAAGCTGTCAGCCTCAGGTTGCTGGAGTTCGAACCTCACAACTCTCCCGCTGGCCAAAAGTGCCCTGAAGGCATTCGAGGAACCAAAAAAAAAAAAACAAACCTTATTCCTTGGGGCTGGTGAGATGGCTCAGTGGTCTAAAGCACCTACTTAGAACAAGCTTAGCAAAGCACAGGGACCGCGGTTCAATCCCCAGCACCACATGCCAGCCAGCCCCGCCCCCTGGTGGGCTGAGCTGGCCCCACACACACACACACACACACACAATAAATAAATAAATTTTAAATAAATAAATAAATAAATAAGTAACACATAACTGAAAATCAGTAGATCACAGAAGAAATCAAGAAAAACATAAAAAAGTTCCTAGGATCAAATGAAAATGGAATCACAACATACCAAAAATAATGGGACATAATGAAAGAAATCCTAACCTAATGATACATCTTGAGGTCCTAGAAAAGCAAAATATGAAACTAATGAGAGGTAAGAAATTATCAAAGGCTGGGTGTGGTGGGGCATGCTTGCCATCCCAGCACTTGGGAGGCTGAGCCAGGAGGACTGCTGAGAGTTCAAGCACTTGGGCTATAATGTGAATTCAAGGCCAGTCTGAACTGCATAGATAAATCCTATCTCAAAAAGATCAACAACAGGGGTTGGGGAGATAGCTCAGCAGTCTAAGCACCTGCCTGGCAAGCACAAGGACCCGGGTTCGATCACCAGCACCACATGCTGTGCCAGTTGCAGAACCCCAGGCACTCTGAGTGTGGTGGTGCAGGCCTCTAATCCCAGTGCTGGGGTAGGTGAGACAGGAGGGTCACTCGGAGTCTGAGCTGCATAGCAAGACCCTCTACCAAATAAATAAATATTAAAAAAAAAATCAACAAAAAAATTAAAAACATCAGAATAGTAATTAAATAACATTGAGACAAAAATAAAAATACAAAGGATCAATGAATTAAAGATCTGGCTCTTTGGAAGGATGAGATAGGAATCTGAAGATGAGGGGAGATGGGAAAGAGAAAGTAAAAAGGATTAAGATGCAATATATATATATATATATATATATTAATTACCCCATGATCAATGTGATTAATACGTACTGCAAAAATATACTAATAAAAGGAGAAAAAAAGATCTTGGGCCAAAGCAGCTAAGTCAAGCTGTCCCTAAAATTTGACCCATGGATGACTGAGATGTCTATATAAGAAACAAAATTGTTAAAAAAAAAAAAAAAAAAGCAAAAACATACTCATCAAGAAAAAAAATACAGCAAGCACATAAATAAAAACATCAGCTGGGCGAGGTGGTGAATACCTACAACCCCAGCACTCAGGAGGCTGAGACAGGAGGACTGCTCTAAGTTAGAGGCCAGCCTGGGCTACAAAGTGAGTTCAAGGCCAGCCTGAAATTCATACTGAAACCTTATCTCAAAAACAACAAGAAAGAAAAAGAAAGCCAGCCATATAGCTCAGCAGACTAAAGCACCTGCTTAGGCAGGAACAGGGACTGGAGTTCAATCCCCAGCGTGCTACGATGGCCCCACCCACGGGGCACACTGAGAAAGTGACTGAAACTGGGCATGGTGGCTCTAGCCTATAATCCCAGAACTTGGGAAGCTGAAAACAGGACGATGTAGACCCTATAGATCCTGTACTAAAATAATAAATAAATGAAAGAAAGGCAACAAAAAGCAAAGAATCATAGGTCACTTATTTTCTTTAAATGGTCCAATTATTCTTCATTTTGTTTCATCTATCGGGTTAATATTTATTAAATAACAAGTGCTGGCACAATTCCCATAAGAGATATACATCTGAGCACAAATATAGTTCATTTCCTTTTGGGGCGGGCATGTACACGCACACATGCATGCGTGTGTCCATGTGTGCTACTACAGATTAAATCCCGGAACCTTCACACTGATCTACATGCCTTAGCCGTTTTGTTATGTGACAGAGCCTTGCTAAATTCATGCTGAGCATGAACTTGAAACCTTCCTGCCTCAGTCTCTCGAAGTGCTGGAATTACAGGCCTCTGTCACAACATGACAGGCTCTTTCTGTTTCATTTCCAACCTCAGGAAAGACATGGTAATAATAAATGTAAATGACCAAGGAAATAAGATGAAAGCAACTGCCCAAATGTAGTACTTCATGTTTAACAGCTGTGATAAAAAATACCAACTACAGCCAGTTATGTTGGTGAAGCACACATATAGTCCCAGCACTTGGGAAGCTAAGCCAGAAGGATCACAGCCAGGTTTGAGGTCAGCCTGGACCATATAGTGAGACCCTGTCTCAAAAGCAAAACAAAACCCACCAAATACATTAACATATGAAAAAATATGTGAAGGTCAAGGGTTCAATCACCAGCACACAAAACTATACACCAACGGTTTCACTCAAAATAAAAAGTTGGAAGTATGAAAGTTTTACTTACCTGAGAAAGATCAATGAAATGATTGGCTTCTGCCATAACCTTCACTCGGAAGTTTGTACCATCATCTGGACTCAGGGCATAACAGAATACCTGTGAGGCAGCATAGTGTATTTAATGAACTTGGTTCAAATTTCTTCCAAAAGACACTGGGTCTAACATTTAAAATAACAGGAAAGTCACCATTAAGGGTATTTTTAAAAATATACACTGATTATCTCTAAAGGAACACTATCTTACCTCAAATTTATCAGGATTGTGCATGCCTGGAATAGACTGCATAAGGTGAGAAGTAGGATGATTCCCAAAGTCAGAACTCACATATCCTACACGCAGTCGACCATCACTAAGCTTCAAATCTTTTGGATGTTCATATGGTGGTTTATGAAGGACATTAATCTACCAACAGAATTCAGCACTCATTAGTAAAGTTGAATCTATATGTAAATTTTTATCCACAGAAACTAAAACCAAGCCAAACCTACACCTCACACTTGTTGAGTTTTGTCCAGAATACTTCATCTAATTGACATAGCTAGTCTGAAATAATTTTAGCAGTGTGGATAATATGCTTTATACTTGATCTGTTTCTAAATCCCATGAAGTAGTTTGAGCAAATCTAAAACTTGTAGAAATGTACATAGAACATGAAAACCCTTAAAGCACTTTAGAAAATTCTGTAGGGAAAGAATTTTTAAAAAACCAAAATTATGCCTAGCGTTAGAATCTACTCTCCAAAACAAACTTTAACCTTTAATGAAAGTGCTCTAAGTCTCAAAGATGAGTACCAAATACCACACACTTGGTTAAACAGTAGTTTTCAACCTAAAGAAAAACACCATCATTCAATCCCCAGTTCCACCAAAAAAAAAAAAAAAGGACAGACAGACACCATCACTTATCTGTAAGTATTTAAGAATTCCACCCTATAATGTACAGAGGATTATGCTCAAGACAGGGTACATTAGAAAAGATTTTCTGGGGCCAGGGAAATGGCTCAGTAGAATAAGCACTTGCCTGGCTAAGTGCAAGGGCCTGAGTTCAATCCCTGGTTCCACCAAAAAAAAAAAAAAAAGATTTTCTGAGGGTACTGACAAAATTTTATTGCTCAACTTGGGTGATGAACACCTGATAATTCATTAAGCCATATATTTGCTTTACGCAGTATTCTGCATGTGATTAGTTTACAACAAAAGGACTAAAACAAAAAGCACACCTTATCCAAACAAAGGTTCCCATGCCTCTCAGCAATAGCCTTCCTGAAGCCATGAGAAAGAGGATACAGCATACTGTGATGAGGATGCACAGAAGGTAATCTATTCTTCTCTAATTGGTCAGCCACAATACTGACCAACTTCTTCATTCGCTCATCATAGTCTGTCCAATCACAGACAATCTAGAAGAAAACAAAGTTACTATCTAGAAAGTAGTATCCAGCATTTAATATTTTACACATCTACATCTTTAATCTAATACAACATCAGATAACCTATTAAAAACGCTGTTTCAGCTAGAGCACACCTGTAATCCCAGCACCAGGAAGGCTGAGGCAGGAGGACTCCCAGGTTCAAGTCCAAGGAAATTTAGCAAGACTCTGTCTCAAAAATCAAAAATAAGTGTTTGCCTTGGCAGCATATATGCAAAAATTAGAATATCAAGACTGTTAGCATCACCTCAGCACAAACATGACATGAAAATTCATGAAGCATTCTGTAACTTTTAAAAGATAAATTTGAGCCATTTGTAGGAAAATGGGATGCACCCTGAGACCATAATTTTAAGGAAAATAAGACACACAAGCTTAAATATTGCATGGAAAAGACAAAATAAAGACTAACAGGTAATGAGAAACAGGGAGATAGATCTTTTGCAAAAGAGAAGAGGACAGAGATGGAGGAAGAAGAAAAGGGAATAAAAATATGAATTAAGGGGTTAGGGAGATAGCTCAGTGGTCTAAGAGCCTGCCTGGCAAGCTCAAGGACCCGGGTTCAATCCCCAGTACCATATGCCATGCTGGCCCCGGATCCCTGGGTTCACTGTGCCACCAAAACCAGGCATGGCGGTACATGCCTGTAATCCCAACACTGGGAAGGCTGAGAAAGGAGAATCACTACAAGTCTGAGCTGCATAGTGAGACCCTGTACCAAATAAATAACTAAATAAATAAAAGATTTTTTAAAATGAATTGAGATGTGCTACATACATGTATGAACTCCCCCATGAGAAATACTATGTACTGCTGACACATACCAATATAAACAAAAATTAAAGCTGGGCATTGTGGGCCAGCCAGATAACTCAGCGGATTAAAATACCTGCTTAAGCAGATGCAGGGACCAGGGTTCGATCCCCAGTGTGCTGTGCTGTCCCCACCCCTGGGACACACTGAGACAGTGATTGAGAATGGGCATAGTGACGCACACCTATAATCCGTGCTTGGGAGGCTGAAAACAGGAGAATCACTACAAATCCAATCTGTGTAGTAAGACCCTGTACTAAAATAGTTTTAAAAAAAAAAAAAAAAGCTGGGCAGGGACTGGTGAGATGGCTCAGTGGTCTAGAGCACCTACTTGGAACAAGCTAGGCTAAGCAAAGCACAGGGACTGTGGTTCGGTCCCCCAGCACCACATGCCAGCCAGCCCCTGCCCCTGGTGGGCTGAGCTGGCCACACACACACACAAAAATAAACAAAATAAAATAAAATAAAAAATAAAAAAAGCTGGGAATTGTGGTACATGTCTATAATCCTGGCACTCAGGAGGCTGAGGCAGGAGGATCACTGCAATTTCAAGATTAGGCTAGACTACATTGTGAGTTTGAGGTTAGTCTGAACTATATAGCTAAACTCAATTTCAAAAACTCAAAATAAGTAAAAATCTAAAAATAAGTAAAAAATTTAAAAAAAATAAATAAAATAAAAATAAGTAAAAAATTAAAAAAGGGTTGGAAGCAGCCCAGTATAAAGGCTCTATATTCAATCCCTAGTTACAAATCTAAACCAAACCAAAAACACTGTCTCTTTTAGCCTAGATTATTATAGCACATAACAGTTCAAAAGTGATTACCACACTGAAATCTAATTACTGGTCTTTTATTCTTTACCTGCAGGCAATGAGCCAAGTTACAATAAGCATCAGGAAAATCAGGCTTAAGTTTCAGAGCCGTGCGGTAAGAAGCTATTGCTTCTGGAATATTCCCTGAATCCTAGAAATAAGTAAAAGTGAAGTGGTAAGAAGTTTTCTAAAATTAAGTATCCCATACTAAGATGGCACACCTCACAGGCAACAACAGTACCTTATGAATGGAGGCCAGATTGCTGTGCGCATCTGCAAATGCCGGGTTAATCTGGATGGCACGAGTATAACACTGCAAGGCTCCCTGAACATCCTGCATCTCCTTCAGAGTGTTTCCCATGTTAGAATAGGCATCCGCAAAGGTAGGGCTTATTCTGAAGGACAGGATGGACACAAGTTTTATTTATCTAGCACAAACTTTCAATTTGTTGTTAACAAAGCCATTTTACTTTAAAATTACAAGACAATTATAAAAGGAAAAAGGCTGTGAATTCCTTACCGAATAGCTTCCTTATAATGCATTAAAGCTTCCTGCAGTTTGCCCTGCTGTTGTAATACACTCGCTAAATTGGAATGCGCAGCAGCAAACTCTGGAAAGACCTACAGAGTCAAGATCATAACCAAAGTTTAAAAAACCTGTGAAAACAATAGCACTAACTTCCTCTAACCCTAAGATCTTTGTTCAAATACCCCTAAACTCCTATCTTTTCCAAATCTACTTATTAAAGCCCTAATGGCTCAATTTCTAGCTCTTTTATCTATTTTATAACTGCCCCAAACATGAGCTATATTTCTTTGCCTAGTTTATGCTGACCTACCCCAGCAACACTGGAATCTCTTTCTTCTAAACTCCTACCACAACTACCAACCATCCTACAGCCACGATGCCTTGAAATTACTGTATACACTCCCTGGTAAGTACTCTTCAACTTCTCTCCAAAAACACTCTTACTAGGGCAAGTGTTGTGCCACACACCTGTAATCCCAGCACTCAGGAGGCTGAGGCAGGAGAATTGTTCAGAGTTCGAGGCCAGCTGGGCTACAAAGTGAGCTCAAAGCCAGCCCGAACTGCATAGCGAGACCCCGTCTCAAAAGAAGAAAAAACTCTCTATTTAGGCTTGGATTATTATAGCACATTAACAGTTAAAAAGTGCTTATGACACTGAAAAGTAATTACTGGTCTGTTATTCTTTACCTGCTGCAGGCAATGAGCCACATTACAATAAGCATCAATAAGCAACAATAGTTTACTTTTTGATTTTTCTGTACAAATCCTATCTATCCATAAAATACTGAACTCTGAATTTAAGGATTTTCTTCAGTCACACAGAACCTCACATGTATCTCAGGTACTCAATTATGGGTTCAACAAACAGTCTTCTTTTAAATGATCCAACTACTATCTTTCACAAAAGATGTGGATGGCACAGCAAACTTAACTGCTTTCCCTCTATTGTCTCAGGCTAAACACCCAGCCACACCACCCTCAACATACTTCTAATGCTTTACGATACAAACGAACTGCCTCTTCAATATTTCCCTGTTCTCGTTTGATATTGGCTAGATTATTGAGAGAGTCAGCATGAGTGGGACACAAACGGAGAGCTGTATTGTAACAATCTTCTGCTTCCGCAACCTAGAAAACAAAACAAACTCTTCAAAAACTATACAAATGAATCACAGGGCTATCACTGATATTGTTCTGACAATTTTCATAATTGCTTAGTTAGGCCTAATGTCTGGTAGTACTCCAGAAAATGGATACAGTCAACCCTCAAGTTATGACCTGCCTCATGTGTCAACAGACTCAAGTTTCAGTGTGAGCCCAGGTGTGTGGGTGGGGAGGGGAGGGTGCTGTGATTTCATCAGTGCTTTATATAACTGTTATAATTACTGCTATCAAAATGGCCCCCAAAAAAGCTAGAAAAGAAGTTCAGGGGAAAAAAAAAGTAGTAGTAGTTCAGGAAGGAAGGGAAACGAAAGAAAGCAACCACGGCTCAGGGATATAGCTCAGTGACATAAGCACCTGCCTGGCAAGTGCAAGGTCCCAAGTTCGATCCCTGGCACCACCAAAAAAGAAAGCAAGCAAGCAAGCAACCACAATTGAAAGAGAATTGTAGAGAAATATGAGAGTGGCATTTGTTTAACCCAACTCACTAATATGTGCATGTCAAAATCCACTATCTTAACAATCTTATGGAGAAAAGATTAGAAAAAAAAGATTCATATAAGAAAGCTAGTGTTACACTAAAAGTGTTACTCAAGTTAGTAAGTTACAATCAGTAGTGTTAGTGTGGATAAATGAAAAGGCAGATGGCAGGTTATAGCCTGAGTCTATAATTTGTGAAAAAGCGAGGGCTATAAATTCAGATCTTATAAAGGATAATCCATCAACGAGTGATCATGGTGAAACACTTCATGTCACTAATGGGTAGTTTCACCATTTTAAAGCAAGAACTATGGTTCATGGTGTAACCAGGCATGGTGAAGCAGCCAGTGCTGACAAAAAGGCTGCTACACATAACCACTTCCAAACAATGACACAGAAAAATCGCTTTTGCTCTCAAGTTTTCTTTTTTTTCTCTCTCAAGTTTTCAACTGTGATGAAACTGGCCTTTTCTGGAAGAAAATTCCTAGGACAGCATACATTACCCAGAAGGAAAAGAAAACACCAGGCCGCAAACCCATGAGCGAAAGGCTAACCTCACTGCTGTGTGCCAGTGCGAGTGGTGACCTCAAGATAAAGCCGGGGCCAGGGAGATAGCTCAGTAGAATAAGCACTTGCCTAACAAGTGCAGGGTCCTGAGTTCAGTCCCTGGTACCGGAAAAAAAAAAAGACAAAGTCTGTCCTGGTTTGTCACTGAGACTCCTAGTGTTCAGAACATACAAAGCCCTGAAGAACAGGTAGGGGTCAGGTGGAGACCCAGTGCACAAGCCTGGGGAACCAGGGTATTTTTTCTGGAGTGGATCAGGAAGGCCTTCTGTCCTACTGTTAAGAAATATCTGAAGGACAAAAGGTTACCAACCAGGCCTCTCCTCATTGTGGACTGTGCTCCTGCTCACCCATGAGATTTAGAAGAATTGGCTGAGGAATTCCCAGGGCTCTCAGTCAAGTTCCTCCCACTTAACACAACTCCTCTACTGCAGCCGATGGACCAGCAGATTATAGCTAATTCTGAAAAGCCATACTATAAGTAACTGTTCCTAAAGTGCTTCCAGATGGTCTCAGATACAGGTTTAACTCTTAAAGAATTCTGCAAGAGAACCAACCAAATAGCTCAGCGGACAGGTTCAATCCCCGGTGTGTGATGCCAGCCCTGCCCCTGGGGCACACTGAGATGGCAACTAAGACTGGGCCTGGTAGCACAAGCCTGTAATCCCAGCACTTACGAGGCTGAAAACAGGAGGATCACTACAAGTCCAATCAGTGAGTGATACTCTGTAGTCCCTGTACTAAAATACAAAAAAATTGAAAGAAAGAAAAAAAAAAAAGGGGGGGAAGGTGACAGCAACATAGCTCAGCTGTCCAAAGTACCCCTGCTTAAGCAAGGGCAGGGACCATGGTTCGTTCACCGGCACCACATGCCACAGTAGCCCCACACCCAGGGAGGACTGAGCCAGCCACAAAAAAAAAAAAAAAAAAGAATTCTAGAAGGATCATTACAACATCCTTTCCTGTGTGGAGTTAATTTGAGAAATTATGGGCCATTCTCTCTCTAGGGACACTGAGACCTGCCTGGAAGCAAGTGTGGGCCACGCATGGTGGCATACACCTATAACTGCAATACTCAAGAGGCTAAGGCAAGAGGATATCTGAGTTTGAGGCCAGCTTAGGTTATATAGTGAAACCCTATCTCAAAAAAAAAGCGTGTCCTCCCTGGCAAGCGCAAGGGCCTGAGTTCAATCTTCGGTTCCGCAAAAAAAAAGTGTGTCCTAAAAGTATATAGGACAGAGACTGTGAAAGCTATGTAGAGGAGCCTGAGCCTTCAGTTGACCCTGTGGTTGATGGCAGTGTCACCATAGCAGAGTCCACAGGCTTGCGGGTAGACAGTGGTGATGTTTAGAAACTGGTAGAGGAATACTCAGAGAAGCTGTCTACAGAGGAACTTCAGCAACTTTTGGCCAAGCAATAGACAATGGCGCTGAGGAGCTTTCTGAAGAGGAGGGGAGTACCAACAAAGTGCAGAAAAGTTCTTTTGAAATAAGGAAATCTGAAGAATTGGACAGCGCTACAAACATTTACAGGGAAGAACCACCCAGACAGAAAGAAAGTCAGTAGTTGCATTTACTTGCCTCATGACAATGTCACGTCATACTACAGAACAGAGTTAAAGAAAAGACAGAGGGGCCAGCGAGATAGCTCAATTGATTAAAGCACCTACTTAGGCAAGCTTAAGCAAGTGCAGAGACTGCAGTTCAATCCCTGACACCACATGCCATGCCAGCCCTGCCCCCAGGGTGGGATGGGCCGGTCAAAAAATAGAAAATAAAAAAATAAAGACAGAGACAACCTTAGACCAGGTCTCAATTCTGAGACCTAGTGAGCCAGAAGCAGGTACTAGTTAGTAGGCTACAGATTTCTCCCTAGGAGAGAAAGGACACCAGAGCCAGATTCCTGACATTCTTATGGGAAAGGACTCTCACTCCAAACAGTAGCCACCTTCCACTTCATCCTCCCTTCCTGCAAGCCACAGGTGTCAACTTGAAAGGTGAGTGCACTATGAAACTGTCTCTGGTAAACCTGGCACATTTTTATAACCTTTTGATGAATACACTAGGAAGATTATTGGTGTTTGTGGCAAATTATGCATAACAAACAACCCTTTTTATTATGAAAAGGTTAGTTAAGGGGTGCTTTGAGAGACTGGGAATGTGTTGTATTTCCATTATTTTTTATGAGAAACACAGTCTTGACTTACAACCCGCCCCTGCAAATGAATTAAGTTCATAAGTCAAGGGTCCACCATATTTCCCAGTATTCCTCCCATTAACCTAAATGCCAAAACAACACCAATATAACCATCTCAATACTTAACAACAATATGTATGAAAAAAACTTCCTTAATTCTACCAAATAACAGACTGAGTAAAAATCCTTACACTGCCTTTCTCTTTGAGAGCATTGGCTAGGTTACAGTAAGCATCAGGGAAATGAGGTTGCAGTTCAATAGCTCGCCTGTAGGTGTCTATCGCCAGATCGATCAGGCCTTGCTCATAATATACACAAGCCAGGTTGCCGTGCACCACTGCGTGATTTGGACTCAAGCTTAGGGCACGAAGATAAGCTGCCACAGCTCTGCAAATAAAACACACACACACACACACATAAAAAAACGCAACTAATTTTGACTGGATGTTCTGTTATAATTAATTCATGCTATACTATACAAAAATATAGTAACTGTAAGTACATTTCATGCTATAATACTTAAACTCAAACCAAAATTACACCTTAATAAAATGTATTTTTACCCTGAGAAACTGTTTATTCACACATAACAGGCTTTCCTTTGACAACAAAAACAAGTTGGAAAATCCAAATTTAGCAGCTTTAAGAATCAGATCAGGGGCCGGGGAGATGGTTCAGTGGAATAAGCGCTTCCCTGGCAAGCACAAGGGCCTGAGTTCAATCCCCGGTTCCACAAAAAAAAAAAAAAAATCAGATCAAAAGAAATAATTTAGTCTAAGAGATAATAATTTCAACAGTTTTAAAATACAGGTAATTTCAACCTAACTCACAGTGAGAAAAAGGCTTTCAGGAAAGGCAACAAGGAAAAGTCAGGCAATAGTATCTATGAATTAAAGCAGCAAACTCTAGCAGACAAAAACAACATATTAGGACAATGTGTTTCAACGGGCTACTGTCATTATTTCTCAGCCCAAACTCTTAATGTACTAAGAACCCAAGAAAATTTAATAGAACAATCTCTTACCTGTCAAAAATGCGCGCCTCTTTCAAGACATTTCCTAAATTGATATAAGCATCCAGAAAATTTGGGTCAAGGGTGACAGCCTAAAAATTACAAGAGAATTACTTAAAACGAGTTAGCTTTTTAACTTCCCATTTACAATTTTTAATTCTAAAAATCATTTTAGATCTCTAATTACCTTTATTGGACAATTGAGATGTTTTATTTTTTAAAAACCTGATTATTTAGCTTCCTCTCACTATTTACAAATGTCAATGTCATCAAAATAACTTCTCACACTAAAAGGTAGCTCAGTAGGGTACTTGCCTAGCACACACAAGGACTCAAGTTCCGTCCCCAATACCACAAAAACAAAAAACTTCTCACGTCACATGTTCTTGTGAGCAAAATGAGTCCTGAAGAAGGAAATAATTAAAAACTGGATCTCCTCATTTTACTGAGTACTTCCTGTAACTGGCCCTGTTACTCACAATTAGACTCTTTCAAAAAATAATTGCCAGCTGGGTAGGGGCACACATCTGCAATCCTAGTAGTTCGCAGTCTGAAGCAAGTAGGGTTACCAAGAATTGAAGGCCAGCCTGGGCCACATAGTGAGTTCAAGGACAGGGTCAACTACATAGAGACAGATGGATGGACAGACAGAAGGAAAGAAGGGAAAAAAAGGGAAGAGGGAATGAAGAAAGGATGGAAAAACAAGCATGAAACTCTTAATGTAAAGGAAATACAACTCGATACCCATCAGTAAGATACACTATATCAAGGAAATACTAAATAGTTTTGCCAAATAGTTTGTTTTCCTGACTCAGGCTGCCTTTAGGGTGGGTCTGGGGATCAAACCACCGTCCCCTGTGCCTGACTGGGTTTGCTGGAGCAGGCACTTAAACAACTGAGCTAACCCACAAGCCCCCCTCTCCAAATAGCTCTGAAACTGTCCTAAATTTGGCTGAGTATACCTAGAACAAATTCTCAGGCTGGCACTATATTAAGAATTTATCTCCTAAAAAGACTCCTGGGCACTATCACAGGCTAGTTAAATCAGACACTCTGAAAATGGGGTCAGGACATTCCTATCTAGTACAAGTTTCTCATGTGCAATGAAGGTAAAGAGCCACTGATCAAGAATGGTATTCCAGGAGCTAAAGTATGCAGCTCAGCGGTAGGGTGCTCATTCGCCTAGCATGCATGAAGCCCTGAGTTCCATCCCTAGCACCAAGGAAAGAGACCCTTCAAGTGTGGTAAGAAGGGTGGTAAATGTGAATGTTAACCAAAATACTGAAAAGATAAAGGTAATGAACGGGTAACTGCAAATATATTAAAGATTCCTAAAGAACACTTCCTCTTCACTTAGATGGCAGCTCTAAAACAAAGTGTAATGTACTCAATTTTAATTGTCTGCAGTGATAGATGACTACTCTAAAAACCTTTTAACTTACTACAGAAATTTCCAAACACACAAAAGCAAAGGACTACAACAAAACCTCAGGTTTCTGTTACTCATCATCAACAACTGATAAAACATTCAATTTTACTAATCTAATTTACTAATTTACTAATCTAATTTCACTAATCTACTCCTTTCCTTCACTTTCCAGATTATTTTGAAGCCTTGACATCTCACTCTATTTGAAAATATTGGGGGGGGGGAGTATTTCAGTATACAACCCAGGAATAAGAAAAGAATGAGTACCTGTTCCTTATTATGCCTAAGATGTTTGAAATGCAGTGAGATAGTGAGGTTAAGATTGA